TTTATGATGTGGCTGAAAGTTGAGCCACAGGGGTGAGTTCAATTCCAGGCTTGAATTGTGACTAAAGGTTGTAGTCTCAGTGGTTCCACCCGACTATCAAACCAGTAAGCCTGGTCTTTTTTTATGATTCTGAGGTTTATTTAAATTTTTCTCCCACTATCCAGGACCTTCTGTGGTGAACCTTCTCATAGTGGTCAGAAGTGGTAGCCAGCCACTATCTAGTTGTGGTCGCAGGGTCATGGAGGCTGAGGTTCACATGGGCCATTTGTCCCTTCACCTGTTCTTGTGTCTGATTTTTTCAGTCTTTGCTCTGGATGAGAAGAGGCCAGTAGTTGCACCTTACCAAAGGAGGTTGTAGAACGTTGTTGTTGTGGACAATGTTATGCCAGTTGACCTAAGTGTCCCCCAAGATTAATTTTGAGGCCCCTTACCCACTGACTCATTTCTGTAAAAAATACGGAACACTTTATGAATTTGCATGTCATCCTTGCTCAGAGGCCATGCTAATCTCTGTATCATTCCAATTTTATCATGTATGCTGCTGAAGTGAGCACTGTGAATAACCTTTTGAAGATGGAATGAGTGGTCACTGACCTTCTGTATATCCTTACAGTCCTGTAAGTCTGTGATAGTTGTCGTTATATGCCAACAAGTCAGACCTGACTCAGAGACTCCTCCTTGGGTTTCTGAGGTGGTATCACAACAGAAATAGGTTGCGCAACCTTCCTTTGGAGGAATGGCTGGTGGGTTTGAACCACCAGCCTCCTGGCTAAGCAGTCAAGTGCCTTAGGCGCTTCTAGGATTTCCCCAGTATTGTGCTCTCAGAAGTGGCAGATGCAGAGAGCTGGGAAGGGGATTTTAATGGAAAAAGGGAACAGGATAAATTGAACATTAGATACTACTTTCAAATTTTTAGTGTAGTAGGTAATTGGGTTGTCTTAAGAGCCTTTTTTTAAGATGTACACTGGAATGTGATTTAGTAAGATTGGATTTAAGATAATGGGAGAAGAACATTTGTGAGGTAGACATGAAACAAGATTAACTGAATTGATAATTTTGAGACTAGGTGGTTAAAAAGCATTCTATTTTTGAGTAGTTTAAAATTTTCTAAACTTTAAAAAAAATCAGGCCTAGAATTAAAAAAAAAAAGTTTCCATCTGTCTCTGCAATAGCATCTCCAAAGTTCTGCCTTTAGGAAAGGTAGTCTGTTTTCTGTTAACCCTATCATGACCCAGTTAATTTCCACGTTGAAATTTTTGTTGCTACCATGTGTTCTTAGGGAGGTTTTGCTGAATCAAAGAATTTCTGAAATTTTATTATAAAATGTGGATTTTAATACACATTGTGTTGGACACATGTCCCTCTAGGTTTCAAGGGTAGAGTTATGCAGGACACACTTGTTACTCTGGATTCTAGTAAAATTATGTGGGAAGTATGTTCCTCTGGATTCAAGGGTGGGCGCTAGGGGTGGGTAGATGTATGCCTCTCTGAACTCTGTACTGCATACTAAATTCCTTAACAGGTGCATACAATTTAGGATGCCTGAAAATGCGCTATTTGCTAGAACATAGGCAAGAAAAGCAACTTCCAAATCATGCACAGGAACCCACAAATAAAAAGATAATCTCCCAGTGAAAAAGGCAAAAGTTTTGCAAAAATCACACCTCCAAGCTGTGTCACCTCATACAATACCCCATAAAAACAGTAATTTTCATGTTGTTGTTAGGTGCTGTCGAGTCATTTCCGACTCATAGCAACCCCATGCACAGCAGAACAAAACGCTGCCCGATCCCGCGCCAGCCCCACAATCCCTGCTATACTTGAACCCATCATGGCAGCCACCATGTCAATCCATCTCGTTGAAGGCCTCCCCCTCTTTCGTCTACCCTCCACCCTACCAAGCATGATATCCTTCTCCAAGGAGTGGCCCCTTCTGACAACATGACCAAAACAGGTGAGACGAAGTCTGGCCATTCTCACTTCCAAGGAGCATTTCGGCTGCACTTCCTCCAGGACAGATCTG